GAAGAGTGAATTTTATTCACTCTTCTTATATAGTAAAATATATATATTTAGACTGGAGTAGCTAGCGTAGGGAGCTAGGTTATTTTCCTTGTATGTTCCTGGGAATTACCAAACAGTTAGCCTATACTTATTAGCTATGCTGTTTAAGAAAGTCAAAAAGTTAATAAGCCGACTAAATGGATAAAAAGTGGTCCACCAATCTATATATAATAATAAAGGTGAATATGAAAACGGTGACGTGACGCCTCTCTAAAGGCTTGAATCTTTTTCTTTTTTTGTGTGTTTTTTTTTTTTTGGTATTTTCTAATTTTGAAAGACATAAAATTTTACTTCAATATTTTACCAAACATTAAAGTGTCATTTTTAATTTATATCGTCATTAAGGCTATGTCAATGCCTCCTATCTTTTCCTAAAATGGAGATTTACAGAATGTTGGAAGTCGCCATATTATACTTTGTTTCATTACGTTACTCTTCCCTTTTTTATAATAGATTTCTTAATTTCGTCTTTTACGCTTTATTTATAGTATTTATATCATTTCCTTAAATTACTTTTTTTTCTTTATTTTGTTTATGTTATTTATCGTATTATTTTCTTAAATCACTTCAAATTTTTTTGTTATATTTTTATTCATTCAGTGTAAGAAATCTTTATATAGTATATATACAGTTATTTCTTTTATCTTCTTCATTTTTTCCCTTTATTTATTTTTAATGTATCATCTCCATAACTTATATCTATTAAACTTCCTCTCTTAATAAAATCATCAACTCCATGATTTTTAAGTTTTCATATTCGTAACCCCCAACTATTAAATTTATAATTTAAGATACCTTATTATATTTCTTCATTTTGTGTCTATATAAATTCACAATTTTATGTTTCATGAAATCCTAACTCAAAATTATTCTTTGTATTTCACTGTTTTTGTATAATATTATTATACTATCAAATTCATGTTTTAGCTTAACACGATGAAAAAGTCTCTTGGATGTTGATTAGTTTGTCAAAGGAGGTGTCAGATAAGAGCTAAAAAAATTGTGCACTAATTTTGTATTCTTATTTTCATCTATTTTCTTATGATTATGGTTCAAAGAACGATGTGTGTGTTTGTGTTCTCTCCATCTAACTTCTTTAGTTTGGAATTTAGTAAAAAAAAATTTATCATTGTAAGCATGTATTTTTATTTAGATGCCAATTAGTTATTGTAACTTTGTGGGGAATAATACTAACTACTAACCAAGGTTCAAGAATACTATTGTACAGTGAATTATTTATGTTTTCTTTAAAGATTCATCCATCTTTGATAGTATAAATTCATAATTTTGTATTTCATGAAATCCTTCGTCAAGATTATCCTTTTTATTTCATATTTGAAGTAGTGTTTCCTTATGTTACTATTATAGTATCAAATTCATGCTTAAGCATAACTCTCTGAAATAGACTCTCGGATGTTTATGTAGTTAGCTAGAGAAAATGTAGACATGAAGAGCTAAGAAATTGTGCATTGATTCATTATTTTTTTTCCATGTATTTTCTCATGATTATGGTTATAAGAAAGGTATGTATTATGTTCTTTCTATGTAATTTCTTAAATTTGAATTTTTATAATTTTTGAATTTTCGCAAGTTTATACCTTCATTATACACAAATTAGTTATTGTAACTTTGTCAGTAATATGCTAATTACTAATCAAGGTTCAAACGCTACTATTAATAAAGATTAAATATACATTAAAAATTGAAATACATATTTTTTAATGATGTTTCCTATGATATGAAGAACCATTTATGCTTTCCTTAAAGATTTGTTCTTTCTAAAATTAAAATAAAATAAAAAAGATAGTTAAAGAATTGACAAGGATAAATATATATTGTACTCTAATTTTGTATTTTTTACAATCAAGAATTATTCATAAATAGAATAAAGGAAGGAAAAGAGAAAAATTTTAAAAAAAACAATAAAAACGCATAAAACAAATATTACTACAATAAATCGTAGAGATAAAAATAAAAATATGTATACTTATATTGAATGGATAAAATATCAAAACGAAAATGTTTCTAATTTTTTTCTCTCCTAAGAAACTTGCATAAAATTAAGATACATCTCCTTTTCTTCCGCCTTATATTTTACCTAAAATAAATTTAAATATTAAAAAAATAATCCCCCTTAAATTATATAACACAAATAATACACATTTAAAAAAAAATAAAAAGTTATATATTTTTGTGAAAATTTATATTTATTATATACATGTACATACTTATATGAGTATATTTTTTTTAAAAAATTACAAGCTTATATATATATATATAATAGACAAAAAAAAAATCATGTATATATACTCTCACTAAAGGCTCAATCCTAAAAAAAACAACTATTTTTTCTTATCCAAAAAGAAAAGAGAATAGTTTTACCAATATAAGAAACATATTCAGAGATGATTTAAAATTGCAAAAAATATAAAATTAAGATTCTTTGTAATAAAATTTAACACTCAATAATTTTAAAAAATATTTTATTAAATTAATGAGGTATTTTATAATCGCGCGAAGCGCGATCAAATTCACTAGTATATATTAGTATAAAATAAAACACTGAGTTGCTTGTAATTTTGGATTGTTATTGGTAGAATAATAACATATTTAATGTAATTTTGTACTATAAGCAGTTTTATATCTATCTTTTGGCTCAAGTAAAGCACAATAAAATCACATATGAAAAAGAATGTGAATAATAATAAAAATGAGTAGATATCATTGGACTATCTACTAACTTTCTACCTTAATTCTCGGTTTAATTGGTGTATAGTATAAGTATTCTTGCAATATAATGTCAGTGCATACAATGATACAATAAATCAATTAGTATGATTTATCTATTTTTGGAGTATTCATGTAAGAGGAAATGGGAAGTGGAGTCCAACCTTAGAGTATAGTTGTTCATGATATATGAGTAAAGGCTGTTGCTGTGCATAAGATTTTTTTGGAATATTATACATTATGATATCGTATTCCTTTGTTTATCTTCTACGGAAAGTAGAACAACCTATACGCATTCTGACTAATGGGTGATAGCCACTTTGATTTTCTCCAAAAGCCTATTTCTCTGCTTTCCCTTTTTCCTTATAGTTCCTTCCTCAAAATACTTGTCCATTTTAATCATTTGGTGGAAAGAAAATGCCCCTTGATAGTGACACCAGTGAGGAGTCACGAGTTGCCAAGTCAAAAATTTCGTTAAGGGTGTCCAAAATTTAATACTTGATCTATATATTTTAGGGAAAAATGTCTGAAAAATACTCTAACTTTGGCTGAAATTGTTGTTACGATACCAAACTTTATGAAGGACCTTTTACCCCTGCACTATTTAATAGTGTATTTAAAAGGTATATATGTGCTCACGTGGACACATTACTATTTAAAATGATGCAATATTTATTGATGTTTTTTAAAATACACTATTAAATAGTACATGGGGTAAAAGGTCCTTTCCAAAGTTTGGTATCGTAACAACAATTTCGACAAAAGTTAAAGTATTTTTCAAACCCTTTTCTCTATATTTTATATAATTTTTTGACGAACCAAGTTCAATTGGCCACTCTAGACTATATATTGCTACGCCACACCACTCTTTGATCACCATTTTCATGAGAATATTTATGGAGCAATTCAGTGAACTCAACGCGGCCGCAAAATTATTCATCAAGTCACATATTACAAAATTAATCAAACTCATTGCACTGACTATAGCGTTTCTACGTACTAGAAGATTAATTGGTTGGTCGGTAAATTATTAATTGCATATCAAATTCTCAATCTCCTGAAAATGACCCCCCTTCTTTGATAATAAAATTATGCCGAATGAATTTGAATTAATCGAATGGTTTTCAAATAAGGGGTTTGTGCCAACCAACCACAAATATTATTAGATAACATGAAATTAGCTACACAATATATTGATAATCCTTATTTAATTTATTACAAAATATCTCCGATCCTAGCTATTTGAATTTCAAGATTATTCATAGCTAAATAAGATTAGCATGAAATTTTTACTATTTAACTACAAAATTCTATCCCTAGCTAATTGCTTGTTGCTTTTCCTACGGTACCAAATTAAAATCTTAAATTACAAATAATAATATATAATATTGCCTCCACCTTAATTTATGTAGTTATATTTGGCTTAACTCCTTTTTTTTTTAGAAAAAAAAGAACTTTTAAAACTAATCATAATCTTAAACAAGTTATAGACATTTTTGTGACTATTTTCATTTCATTAAAAGACAAAGGATTGTTTGATATGCAGATTATACTCTATTTGTTGACAGTATAATGATAAAAAATTACAATCCATAAACTATAATCTCAAAATAATTTAATCTGCGTACAAAGCTAAACTAAGAGAAATTAAGGATGGTTTTTTTCTCTGTGGGAAGATAGGCAATGACGTCAACAATGGGGACAACTTTCAACCCATGCGCAATTAAGCGGTCCACCCCTCTAATCCCCCCCCCCCCCCACCCCCTCCCCCCCCTTTCCTT